GGTGTGACAGTGTCAGTCACAGTGCTGAGAACATGGTAGGTGATCACGAGTAGTTCTCCCTGTCTTCTCACCAAGGCTTACTCCAGTGCTGAGCATGCGGAGGTGCCTATAAATAATGCAGAGGCTTGCAGGAGTGAGTACCCGGGTGTGTGTATGAAGTCCAGGACTTGGTGCCCGTGGCTCGGAAGCCCAAATCACAGCCCTAGACTACAGCTGCTGGAGTCCAAGCATGTGGGGCTGTGCTCCCTATCAATCTAACTTGGGGCAGGGATTTAGGTTTTCAGTTGAGGATCAGGTTGTCAGGAGGCCTTTCAGAGCCTTGTGCAGAAGAGGAAAGGCAAGGTCTGCAGTGAGCTCTCTGCAGGGCTGCAGCGGGCCCTCTGTAACAATGTGATGATCTCCTAGCCTGCTGTGGGAAGTAGCAGCATGGACCACACACCTCCGACAGCAGAAGCAGAACTCCACAGATGGGCTGGGCTCCACAACGCCACCTCTGGTTAAACACGAATCCTGGGCACTTCTGTCATTGCTTTCTTAATTTTCTTGCTTGTTCTTTCTGTCAACACTACATCTGATGTACAAGTTTTTTGTGAACTATTTTTTGTTATTTATATAGTACCATATGGTATTCAACCCAGTTCACCTCACCCCCAAACAGAGGGCACAAAAGAAAAATCTAGTTATGAAAGGGTAACTTAAATGCTGAATGCCAGAATTTAGCTGGAAGTGCTGGAATCTTACTTTTTGCTGTGCTCATTCTAGCACAAACGCCATTTGTGCCCTTTGCTGAGATTTGCCTGACAGCCGCATGCACCCAAGCGGAGGTGCTTTTCTCTTTCTCACGAGTGTCGCACAAGCACACTTGTGTAGTGCTAGGGCTTTAGATGAGCCTGCCTGTCTGAGCCGTGTCATTTGAGTGTCCTGTTCTATCAGACATCAGAACTAAACAACTAGTAAGTGAAATGACACCAGGCAAAGCATCTCCCACGGGAAGCCACACGCACAGCCATCAGACTACTCGTACTGCTGCCTAGTTTGTTTCTTGTTTTGGGGAACATGGTCTTGATGTTCAAGCCAGGGTACCCTTTAGTTTATGGTAGTCCTCCCACATGTTACCACACCCAGTTTTTTGACAATTTACATTACAGCTAAGACCAGAAATGGTGGTGCAGGCCTTTGAGCCCAGCACTTGGAAGATAGAGACAAATCTCTGAGTTCCAGGCCAGCCTGGGCTACATGATAAGATCTTGTACCCCCAAAATACAGAGCAACCTAAGCCATAACCATCTGGGGTAGTTGAGGGCAGGCGTCAACCAACTGGAGTGGTATCAAGGCACAGGCACTGCTGACTGTCTTTTGTACATTTTTTTTTTTTTAAGTAATAGAAATGGGCTGGTTGCTGAGCATAGTGGTGTGTGTTAGTGATCGGCACTTGTGGGGCTGAGGCAGAAGAATTACCAGGAGTTCAAAGCTAGCCTGGCCTAGATAGGCAGGGCTACAGGGCGAGACCCTGTCTCAGAACACCAGACAGCATGAGGTTGAGAAACAAGGACTGGGACTGAAGCTCACGGGTAGAGCATGGAGACCCTGGGTTCCTTTCCCAACACAAGGAAATAAAAAGGGCTGAGGAGATAATTCAGTCAGTAAAGTGACTGCCATGATAAGCACCCAAGTAAAATGCCCAGTGCTGTGGCACTGGGGAAGTAGAGACAAGCAGATCCTTGGCATGTGGTGGCCAAGCCCTCCAACTAGTGAGAGACCTATCTCAAAACAAAGTAGACTCCTGAGAAAGAGTACCCAGGGTTGGCCTCTGGCCTCCACTCACACATGCACACACATGTACACATACATACACACATACAATAAGAACAATGTCAGTTCTCATTATTTCCCAGTACTGTAAGTTATTTTCTTCATTAAGCTAACTAAAGTTTAAAACCATGAATACTTGCTAAACTTCTTTCAATTTGACCGTACTTGACTAAAACTTAAAGCAGGTGGGAATCTCCTCACATGACACATATGAACATCAGTGTGATAACCATCCAGCTAACTAGCAAGAACTTGAAGCAGCCACGCAGCTACAATCTGCCTTGCATCAGAGATGCTTTATAACCAGTGACAGAACATGTCACCACTTCTCTTTATAGCTGTGTTCTGCGAGTGGGGAGCTGTCATCTTTAAATCATTGTTTATAAACTACACTAAGATCGTGAACTATCCAGTTCCGCCAGCTTGGGAGGCGCTTGTCATTTGTATGTTGATTCGGGGTGGGACATGAAATTCCCTCTGCCCAATTCCCCACGTTTGTTCCCCATGTTTGCTCATGCCTGGATCCCTGTGTTCCAAGCTTTGCTGTAGAACTGGGAAGAAGAAGATGAAGGGTGTCAGTTTGGACCTCACCCTATGAGTTCACTGGGAATCAGGACGTTCATTGTTTGGTTGGATCAGATCTTTAAAATGGGATGAAAGAAAAGCCTCTCAAATAAGGTAACAGATAATGAGGAAAACATTACACATAGCTCACTGTACAGGCAACTCCTGTTGGAGCTTTAACTGTTTCCCCATTGTTTCTATTTTTTCCCCAGATAATTTTTTTTTCTTTTACTACCACACAAGGCTGTACTTCCAGCTACTGGAGAGGCTGAGCTAGGAAGAGCTCTCAAGTTCAGAAGTCATGAGAGCAACCTGAACAACACAGTGCAGTTCTGTCTCAGTCAGTCAACAGATCCATAAATAAGATTTCCTTTTTCTTTTTTTAGAGATCTTTAAAAATGTATTTATTTTGTATGTGTGTGTGCGCACATATGCCATAGGCATGTGTGGAGGTCAGAGGACAAGTTGCAATCATCAGTAGTCTTCCTTCTACCACGTAGGTCTCAGGTAGCGAACGCAGGGCGTCAGGCTTGGCAACAAGTGCCTTTACTTGCTGACAGAGTTCCCCTTCTCTATTTGGAGCCTGTGTTTGTTTACTTGGGTTTTGTTTGTTTGTTTTGGTAGAGACAGAGTGCTACTTATATGGTCCAGGCTGGCCCCAAGTTTACAAACCTCCGTCCTCAGCCTATAAATGTTGGGATCACAGGCATACACCATCACACTCAGCTTCAAAAGCTGATTTGAAGTTTTGCAAGAGGCTCTTCACATTATTTGTAAAATGAAGGTGGGGTGGGGGGTAGAGAACTGACTCAGAGATTAAGAGAACATGTTGCTTTTGAGATAACCTAGATTCACTTCTATAAAAATAAGTGTTTTCTTGCCAGAGACATGAAAGCCTTAGAGCTGCTGACCTCCCTTCTGAATGGATCCAAAGGGTTGGTTTGGCTTAAGAGGGCTTTGAACAGGCAACCCTCTTAGGCTGTGAGAGGCCAGCTCAGCAGGGCTCCTTCAAGACAGGGTCAGGAATGAGTACATGCTAGATGACATAAGCTGAGAGCCCCCAGCCCTCCTGCGTTCCACTAGACGACAGAGTCTACACTGTTAATTCTTCCTGCCTTCCAGGCTGTGCCCCTGCTTCTCCCTTGGGTGTGCAAGCTTGAACTCCATTTTATTTGTTTATTTTGGGGTTTTTGTTCTGTTTTGGTTTTGTTATTATTTTACTTTGTTTTGTTTGAGACAGGGTCTATGTAACCCTGGCTGTCCTGAAACTCACTAGGTAGATCAGGCTGGTCTCCGATTCATGGAGATCTCCCTGACTTTGCCTTCTGAGTGCTGAGATTAAAGGTGTGTATCACCACTCCCAGCCTTATTTTTGTTCTATTATGTTTGTTTTGGTTTTGATTGTTTGTTTGTTTGTTTAAGACAGGGCTTCTGTGTGAAAGAGCCATGGCTGCCCTGGAACTCACTCTGTAGATCAAGCTGGCCTTAAACTCACAAAATCTATCTGCCTCCCAAGTGCAGGAGTTAGAGGCATGAGCCGCCACCACCCAGCTCATTTTTGTTGTTCTTAACTAGTCAAAGATCACATCAGCCACATATGTACTTGTGTGTGTACTTGAATGTATTAGGGGGAGAGGGGAAGGTTGTAGCTAGGAGGCTGAGTCAGGAAGATTTTTGTAAGTTTAAGGCCCACCTAAGTTACATAGTAAGTTCCAGGCCAGCCCGGACTACAAAGTAAGACCCTGTCTCAAGAAACCAATAAATAACAATAATAAAATCCCAAACTCTTCCCAGTTGACTTGGAAAAGGGTGTCTAAATTAAATCTCTTCTACTTGTTTCTGGGTTTCACCACACTGAGCCCAACTGCTAAATCTCTCCAGTCTCTCAAGTACAAGTACCTGGAGTAAACACTCCTTCCCATTCTTCAGGCCTGGTGGTTGTGTCTCTCTATGGCAGTGATTCTCAACCTTCCTAATGCTGTGATCCTTTAACATCTCATGTTGTGTTGGCTCTCAGCCATAAAATTATTTTTGTTGTTGGGCAGTGGTGGTAAATGCCTTTGGTCCCAGCACTCAGGAGGCAGAGGACAGTCTGGTCTATAAGAGCTAGTTCCAGGACAGGCTCCAAAGCTACAGAGAAACCCTGTCTCGAACCCCCCCCCCCAAAAAAAAAAAACAACAAAAAGCTATTTTTGTTGCTACCTCATAACTATAATTTTGCTAGTTATGAATCATAATGTAAATATTTGATATTTAGCCCCTGTGAAAGGTCATTCAACCCCAAAGGGGTTGCAGCCCACAGGTTGAGAACCACTATTCTCTGGGTTTAGACGGATTCTTACCCTCTGCCTAGTGATGTGGTGAGCATCCCTTACACAGCTTCGCTTGGGTGGGAACCTTAGGTGGGAACAGTAGGAAAAGGAACAGAGCCTGCACGCCATGCCACCGGTGAGGCTTGTTCTTATTCAGAGCAGCCTGTGTCACAGAGCTAGTATGTTGGCCGAGGCCAATCCCTGTAGCACCAAGTGACCTAATTTCCACCCCCACACCCCTTCCCTGGTACTAGATAACACTGTTCCCCGGTAGCATCTCTAAAACCTGGGCCTGTCCTGTCGCTGTTTCAGATGCCATGGCAGAATGTGGAGCATGTTGGTGACCAGAGCCCTTACGTCACTTCTGTTATTCTCCACATTAAGCAGAACGTCCCTATCATCCGAGACAACCTGGCTTCCACACGGAAATACTTCACGCAGTTCTGCATTAAATTTGCAAAGTAAGTCCTGAGTTGTTTCTTGATGCACTTCTTGTTTTCATCTCCCAGGATAAATGAGCAGGAGATGCCCATGGCCATTTCCCTGCCAGGAATTGTGCAGTTCACGAGCCGCACTGGCAGTCGACCCCAGGATCGCTCTCCAGGTGTACCTCTCTGAGTGGGGAGAGACCTATGATGGCCCTGGTGTCGTTCTCAGTGGACTTACTTTACTGATCTACTTAACTACCCAGCATGCCCAGTTTCTAGCTGGGCTCATCTGGGGCCTCCAGGAAAAGTAGTATTCTTCTGTCCTCCAAAGGGCTGTAGTGGTAGGAGCAAATGGGCCACTTTAGGACACGTGCATGCTTAGAGCAGCAGGCTTCAGCCATGGCAGACAGGAACAATTTGGGGTATCTTGCTCTTCTCAGTTCTGTACATGAAACCTCTCCTTGCTCAGGTTTTTGTTTTTCAGTAAGTTCATGCGAGCATTTTATCTGACTAGAGTCTGAACTTCTCAGGAGTTGGACCATCGGTTGTGCCTTTGAGCCTTTACTTCTTCCTCCTCCTCCAAGGACTTGTTATTGTAGCTGCCAGAGATTATCCACTTGTGGATGTCGTTATGTCCAGGCAAAGTACTAGAAATTAGGAGCAGCAAGTTGTTGAGCTCCAGTGCCGAAGTGATAGAGCAAGCACCACGTTCCCTGCCTTCTGGTCATGTCCTCGTGTGTGGCCATTTCTGCCTTGAATTTTGAAGCAAGGAAGTAGTTTGGTTCTTTGCCAGTCAACATCTGGCTCCGGCCCTGTTTCCCGAGAGGCCAGGCAGTGATGAGGGCCAGTGTCTCCTTTGACCAATTATCAGACACACAGTTTGGCAAGTTGCTTCAGGAAGGTCAGTGCTGTCCAAGCTACCGTATTTGGATTGTTCTCATCCAGGTCCCAACTGGTGACTCAGGCTTCTGAGTTGCTCTTTTCCCCAGATCTCTCCCGGTTTGTATTCAATTAGATTCCCCCATCTGACATAAATAAACCCCAAGGAACAACAGTGACAGAGTAGCTGTAGAGTTAATTTTAATTTCAAGCCCATCAGCAAGGCTTGGGCTGACTCCCCAGGGAGCATTTATGTTTGCAGGCCGCAGATGGACCAGAGCTGACATTCCCTTCCCTCTCTGGGTGCTCATTAATGTGTACTAAAAGCACTGCTGATAAATCACAGTGACGTTCCCTGTAACCACTGCTACATTGTCTCTGTAAAATTCTGCTGGGACTCAAAACCTCCACTGTGGGCACCCAGGGGTCCGATTGAGCTAAGGTTGAAGTGAATAAGGAGTCCATTGCTCAGCCCGTCCAGTGTCAACCTCACATTCTGTCATCGCCTTTTCATTTTATTACTAAGCTCATTCTGAGTGGTCTGGGAATAGGGTGCCCATCCCCCACATCTGGAAAAGTTTGGCTGTAGACCTAGAAAGTTTAGAAAGCTTTGTGCTTTAACTCTTGGTACCCTCCCTTGATTATAAAATCTCAGCCCAGACCAGTAGCCAGTTTCCATCCTGGTGACCCTTGGCAATGACACATCACATTGCTGGTTTTTCTTCTCCAAAGACTTGTGCCTGGATTATCCCCGTGTTTCTCCTGATCACCCAGCATGGACTAGTCAGGGCAAGGCAAGGGCACAGCCTCAGCACTCCAGTGTGAAGGAGCTTCTGTTACAAGCCGGGTGTGCAGGTGTGAGTAGTCCCAAGTTTAGCCTCGCCTTACCTGGCTGGCTCAGGTTAAGGGCCAAGAACCCCTCCAGACCCTCTTATTCACACTCCCTCTAGATTAGTAAGCCCACTCCTCTCTGGACTGCGGGTTCTCCATCTGTGGCTGCATTGCCTCCGACATAATAACTTAACAAGGCCACTCCTAGTTGAGAATGCAGTTTGTATTACAGATGACTTCTCTCACCCACTAAACTAGAATACCTCTATTCCATGAAATTATCCCAGAAGTCCTTAGTTAGCAGCGTGATTGCAGTGTGCGGAGAAGATGTGGCGAGAAGGAAGGACCCAGACAAAGCATGGAGGAGGGAGGAGACAGATGGCAGCCGGCCTTGGTGGAAACCTTGCCCCTTTCCGTCTTTCCTCTGTGGTCCAGAGCCCGGGGGCACTGCCTGCTCAGCACACTCTGGATCTTATCTAGTTATGCACGTGTCTACTTTCCACAGCTTTTGAACTACAGCAGAACAACAGCCTCCTTGACTCAGGCCCTGACTTGCTGAACTGTTACTGTCCTTCACCCTAAACAGCGTTACCAGGCCACCTGGCCTAAGTTGTCGCCCAGTGCTTGGCAGATTTTTTTAAAATCTTGTAATTTTTGTTTGGTAAGAGAATTACTGCCTTAGCTATTTATTTCTTGGTTTTACTTTCAGATATCCTTACACTGCCCATGTAGCTTTAGCTCTTGCCACTAATCGGATATTTTCACTCACTGGTACTCAAATGGGCTTGAATGGCAAGGTGGATTTTTTTATTTGTTTGTTTTGTTTTGTTTGTTTGTTTGATTGGTTGGTTTTTTTGAGGTAGTGTTTCTCTGTAGCTTTGGAGCCTGTCCTGGAACTAGACCAGGCTGGCCTTGAACTCACAGAGATCTGCCTGTCTCTGCTCCCAAGTGCCACCACTGCCCTGCTTGTTTTTGTTTTTTTGAGACAGGGTTGCACTATGTAGCTCTGGATGTCCTAGAATTCATTATGTAGACTAGGCTGACTTTGAACTCACAAGAAATCTGCCTGCCTATTTCCTGAGTGCTAGGATTAAAGGCATGTGCCACCACACTTGGCACAAGATGGATTTTTGAAACTTCATATAACTTCAAGTCTAGAGGAAGTTAGGGCTTGAGAGTGGTTGGTTTAGGCTGGAGAGATGGCTTTGTAGTTAAGAGCACATGCTGCTTCTGCAGAGACCTCCAGTTCAGTTCTCAGTACTCACATGGAACAGCTCACAACAGCCTGTAACTCCAGCTCTCAGGGATCCAATGTCCTCTTCTAGCCTCCCTGGAACCTGCACACATGGTTACATGCACACACACAGACACATATACTAAAATAAAAATATATATACTTTTTTTTTTTAAACAAACAATTGCTTTAGTGTTTTGATGGCTTTTGACCTGGGATATTCTCTTGGACACTGGCCACCTCCTCAGAATGATGGTGGAATGACAAGTGTAGGTGTTTGTCTAGCTCAACAGTGCCCTAAGCAGGAAGAGGGGGTCTCACACCAGCCTTGCTGTGAGGTCCTTTCCTCCAGGTAATTAGACTGCCGTAGGGTAATTCTCCCTCCTAGGACCTGAAACAGTCACCAGTGGAACTGGCTGAAGCTCAGTAGTATTGACCTCCGTAGGACTGGAGTGTGGCTCAGTGAGTGCTAGAGTTCTCGCCACCTGAGTTCCATCCCCAACACCACAAACAAAAATAATTCACCTCTCCAGCTTAAGATGGGGTGAGCTTTCTGCAGAATCCTAGGCTGTTCTTCCTAAACAAAACTGGAGCTGAAGTTAGAAGGAAAGAGAAGGCTGTGTGGGGGGTATAGGGGAATATAGTGTCCACCCGGAGTCTCGGTTTCCTCATGAAAGGAAGTAGAGCCTTAAAAAGTTTCTGCCACTTGCCACCTTTAATCCCCGCACTCGGGAACAGAGGCAGGCAGAGCTCTGTAAGTTTGAGGCCAGCCTGGTCTACAGAGCAAATTTCAGGGCTACACAGAGAAGCCCTGTCTCAAATAAATAAATAAATAAGTTTCTACAGCCCTTTACTACAAGGAGAATAAGCTTAACTTGTCACTTTTCTATCAACAGCTCATTCATCCCCAAATTTATCACCCACCTCTTCAAGTGCAAGCCAATCAGCATGGTGGGAGCAGAGCAGGTAAGGAGAACTTCCTGCAGGACTTTATTAAGGATCCAGCATATGGGCTCAGGCAGATTCAGTCTAAAGAGACCGCGACAGGTTTCCCTGAAGTACAGAAATATGGTTGCTTGGCCACTCCTTTTGCTTCCTTGTTTTAATTTTTGAGATAGGTTCTCATATTGTAGCCTAGATGGGACTCAGATCGGTTAGATAATCACAACCTCAGTCACATGTACGGAAGGTCACAAAACAAGTTAGGGGAAACTGTCTTAGGGGCATAAGACTGAAGGTTTCAGATTTCTCTGAGGACTGGTACTGGAGGGATAAGGGTCAGTGTTCTAAGTCCAGCAGAGGCTCTGAGTGGCTGGGCAGAGGGCCTGTGAGACCGAGACCGAGCAGGAAGAGTCAGAACTCACCTCCCCAGGAAGCTCCTCAGCTGATTCTCTGCTGGAGCATGGTGACACATGCCTGTAGTCCCAGCACTTAGGAGACTAAAACCATGTACAGTATACCGTGAGACTCCGTTGGTTCATGTCATCTGAGCCCTGACGAACTGAGTTGTGTGTTACGGTAAAGTCACTTCTTTTCATCTCTCACCTGTTCAGACTCTGAAATTTGGGCATTTTGAGTTCAGGGAACACTCTGATTGATTTTGAAAATAAAAACAGATATTAGAACGACTGTTCTGTGGTAAACATTAACCAAAAGCAACTTGAGAAAGAAGAGGTTTATTTGATTTATGCATCATCAAGGGAAACCAAGGCAGGAATTCAAGGCAGAAACTGAAGCAGAGACCATGGAGGAAGCTGCTTACTGGCTGGCTCTCCATGGCTTGCTCAGTCTGCTCTTTCATACAACCCAGGACCACCAGTCCAGGAGTGGCACCACCCACATCAATCATTAATCAAGAAAACTCCCCGTCCCCACATGCCCATAGGCCAGTCTGTTGGAGGCAGTTCTCCAGTTGAGGTTCCCTCATCCCAGATCACTCCACTGTGTATCAAGTCAGAAAACTAATCAGCACACTCTGCAAGGATATGGATCTGAGTTTGATCCCTATAAGAATCACCCGCAAGCCGGGCGGAGGTGGCGCATGCCTTTAATTCCAGCACTCGGGAGGCAGAGACAGGCGGATCTCTGGGAGTTTGAGGCCAGCCTGGTCTACAAAAGCTAGTTCCGGGACGGGCACCAAAGCTACAGAGAAACCCTGTCTCGAAAAAAAAAAATCACCCGCATAAAAAAACAAGAATAAGGGAATAGAGAGATGATTCAACTTTTTCTACTCTTGCAAAAAAAAAAAAAAAAAAAAAAAACCTGGCTTCTGGTCCCAGAACCCATACTAGGCAGTTTATAACTGTCTTTAACTCCAGTTCCAGGGGGATCTGATACCCTCTTCTGTCCTCCTTAGGCACTGCACACACATGGCATACATATAGACAGGCAGAAACACACACATACACAAACACACAAATAAAAGCAAATTTAAAAAAACAAGCAAGAACAGTAATGTGTTCTTATACCCCCAGTAGTGGGAAGGTGGAAACAAGAGGATCCCTGGGGCTTGCTGCCCAGTCGGCCTAACTGGATTGGCAAGTCCCAAATTCAGTGAGAGACCCTATCTCAAAAATAAAGTGGAGAGCAATTGAGGAAGACACCCAGTGTCAACATTGGCCTTCTTTCATACACACACACACACACACACACACACACACACACACACAGAGGCGTGCACGCATGTGTACACAGGCACACACAAAATAAAAAAATTATTCATTCCTCCAATCTCTGAGAATACCACTTAAGGTATAAATTATTCTTAAAATGTCTTCCCTAGACCTCTATCTGTAAACACTTAGACAACATGTAAAAAGATCATGTAATTCATTTCCATAGATCCTGCTCTGTACCATATGAGACAATGCAGTAGAGGCTCAGGTCTTTGCCAGCTCAGTTCCCTGTCTTCATGGCTCCTTGGCTGTGTTGACATCCCTTCTGCCCCAGCCCCCACTCCACTCAGTAAGATGGTTAGTTAGCATGTACTGGATGGAGTGAGTACCTTGTAGTCACTCATGAAGTGTCAAAGGCAGACAGGAATAGTAAAGTCTCCTGAATCAAAGTGCAGTATGATTTGTCCTCTCTATTAGCAAGTGCAGGACAGTGTGAGCGCTCATGTCCTGAGCTCTGGAATGACGTGGGCAGAAGCTAGATCCTGTGCCTGCAACACTGCATCTGTTTGTCCGTAGACAAGTTACTCTGCGGGGCCTCCATTTCTTTGTCTCTGAAATAGGAATTCTTGGTGCCACCTCAAGCTGTTAGGATTAAACAAATCAGAGAGCCGTGTGTGGTGGCACACACCCAGTAATCCCAGCACTTAGGAAGCTGAGATAGGAGGATTGTAAGTTCAAGACCAGTCTGAGCTACATAGCTAGACTTTGTCTCAAAATAAAATAAAATAGAAATGGAAATAGTAAAAACCAAAGCCAGTACCCATAAGTAATACACATGTCTGGCACAGAGCCAGCCCTCATTAAATACCAGCTCCTGCTCACTGTAAGCTTCCTGAGACCTGGACGTGACCTTATTTCTGTTTCATTGCTCATCTTCCCTAATACTTCTTCCACATGCTGCCTGCATAAAGACTTCTAGTCAGTGCTTGCCCTCGGCTGTCTGCCTGACCTGCTCTAGCTGGAGTCAAAAATGTTGTCTTGGAAAACTCCCTGGGAGGTTGCACGACTCAGACACCAGCTGGGCCTGACTGTAGCAGTCAGTGTTCTGAATCCCTGACCCTGGCATGTCTAGGGTGCGGATCTCATTCTCTCCGTCGGAAGTGGCAGGGGGATGCCCTCACATGCCAGCTCCAGTTTCATTAGTGCATGTTTACCCGGCGCTCCCTCTGTTCACCTTATTACACTCTGCCATCTGAGAGGATATGGAGAGATTAAGATCTGTGTCTGGAGCGCCTTAGAGTTCTCAGTTACATTTCTGTCTACAGACGTGACCAAGCCTGGAATCCAAAGCTGACTCATAGGAACACAGTTCCATGTTTTTGGAACCTTGCTCAGGCCTCCAAGACTGCCGTAGTGTCTGATAGCCATGAAAGTTTTGATGTCACATAAGTCCTATATCATGAGTGTTTTCTTCAGATTTTCTCGTTTATAAACAATGTTAGCTAGTGGGGCACACCTGCCACCCCAGCATTCAGCCAGCAGAGGCAGGGGGATCAAGGCCAGTATGGGCTACTTAGTAAGACCCTGTCTGAAATAACAGAACAGAGTGGAACACCAGCAGAATCAGCCCAGACCACGGGCTTCTATCTAAGAAACAGGATCCATCTGCTTTTAGATGTCAGGGAAAGCCCATTTTCTAGAACTAAAGTTTCGCTTCCCAGACCCTATGCAAAGACGAGTGAGTAGTAGGCTATCTACAGACCCAGCCTTGTGGAGGCTTCAGGGAGGAATGAAGGGCAATAGAGTCCTAGATTGGTTCCCGTGTAGCTGAGGTTTATGTGGGTAAGGTTAGCCCTGGCATCTGGACTCTGAAATCCCAGCCATGCTGTAGCCAGAGGCCTGTGCACTCAGGCAGCAGGGTCCTAGGACTGAAGACATTAACCACAGGGCAGGTGAGAGCCTGACTGCTTGTGTAGAGGACCCGAGCTGTTCACAGCCGCCTGTCATTCCTGCTGCGTGAGTCTGAGCTCTGGTCTCTGTGGGCTGGCTGGCTCTGTCTCTGTCTCTCTCTCTCTCTCTCTCTCTCTCTCTCTCTCTCTCTCTCTCTCAAACACACATAAATAATAGAATAAAATCAGTTTTTAAAAGAAAGTTAGTAGAAAGCTGCTTTGAATACAAGCACATTCCAACACATCCACACCCTGCCTTGTGTCATGTCCCTAACCCAAGCTTTAACTAGAGCTGTAGAATTCAAAGCTGCGACTGCACCTCGTCTGGGCTGCGTCTCTTCTGCCAAAAGGTGCTCAATGCCGAGCTGAGGTTAGGCTCGAATACTGATGTGAAAATTTAAAAAAGGAGGCTCTTTCTGCTCTTCATTCCCGCCGTGATTAGTACATACAGTGAGTTATTTGTCTCCAGGCCCCAGAGTCCTCTTGAGCAGTTGCGAGGGCACGTGGAATTGAAGCATTCCTGTATTGTAATGCCTCCTGCTAGTTTGTGATTTTCAGAGGGCCTTGTGGGATTGCAGGGTCATTAATTAGTCTTACAACTGAGGTCATCTCTGACTGAACACACGGCAGAAATAAAATCCATTTGCCTAAACTTCCCCTAGAGAAAACAGCACAGTGTGGTGCTGGAAGAGACTCACAGCCCAGTCCTTGCTCTGCTGCTGCTGGCCCCTTGCTCACAAACAGTGCCTGCCTCCTCCGGTGCTCAGTGTCCTCTTTAGATACACGTACTAAACCAGGCACACTCCAGGTGCCTTGTAGACCTTTCCTATGGCTCCAAACTTCATCTTTGTCAAGTTACTTTTTTCCCTTCGTGTATTTTCTTCCTTTTAATTGTTTGGTTTGGTTTGGTTTCAGTACCCTACTGTGTAACCTATGGGTGTCTTCGGTTTCACAAACCTTGCATGGGAGGCAAGGGGAGGCAGGTCCCAGGCCTTTAATCCCAGGCAGAGGCAGGCGAATCTCTGTGAGTTCAAGGCCAGACTGATCTACACAGAGCTAATTTCAGGACAACCATGGCTATACAAGAAAACTGTCTTGAAAAACAAAAACAAACAAGCCAACAAATTGACAAATCTCCTGGCTCTATCTGCTGGATGATGAAATGATAGCATGCACTAGCTCTATATTCGGTCTCTTGTGTTGACTTTATATAAATCAATGGGATGGGAAGATGGCTTAATGCTAAAGTGCATGCTTTATATATACAAGATCCTGGGTTCAATCCTTAGCACCTTAAAAAAGGAATATTTCTAGATATGTACATTAGGAACATTTTGAAGTTGCATGTAACAAAATGTGTCAGTTAGCCGTCTTCTGGTGTGCAGCACGTTGGCATTAAGCA